AAGATCTAGAAATTATTTTAAATTTACCGATACCGGTAGTTTGTAAAATGCCTAATATCGGCCGATAATATCGGCCCGCCGATAAATCGGTCGGGCTCTAATGTATTTTGTATTGTGTTAGCTTCCATTCATTTCTATACAGTAAATCAATTAGCCCACTCTTAAAACCTGCTTATCAACTACAACAAATTTACATTATCACAGTGAGGTAATGCAGTGCATACTTTTTATACCAATCTGCATCTAAACTGTGCAACCACACAAAGATTATGTAACACTGACAAACAAACGGATTCATGGACTACACAACTCACAGGTTTCAAGAGCCAGCTTATGGATTTCTATGCCTTGCTTTTAATTAATGGAAAACAATGACTGCCTGGAATGGTAGAAAAAGTACATTGAAAATCTATCAAGCATTCAAAAATACTCAGCAAAAATGTTGTGTATTTGATATGTTGATGATTTAATACCCTGGTATGGTTCTTTAGGTTTTATGTCCCAGTATGTTCACAGGTTAATGTACTTAATGTGCCAGTGCTAGAAGCAGTGTCTCCAGCAAGTATTTCAACCACATTATCAGTCTCCAAATCAGTATTTTACTGTGTTCAAGTGATTTATCCTTTTCCAGGTCCAACAGGCTACAGATGGAGAGACTACGGTGCCCTGACCATCCTTATGGTGGGCATGGCCTTTGGCTTTCATCAGCTTTACAAAGTAAGTTACACCCTGTTTCTCTCCATGTTTCCTCACTGACTTTGTTTTCATAGTTAATGTTTCTCTAAAATTTGTTATACTCATTATACTTTGCATCCTAAGATCTGTCAGTACTGCTTCTCCCTGATATTACATTTAAATTGGTGGGCTTAGCAAGTACATCAGTTTATGATGAATTATGGTGCTAGAAAAGAAGGCGCCTCTGCAGTATGCAACATCACTCTGGTCTTGTTATTAAAGCAACCCTGCTTTACGTCAAAGCATGATCTCATTTGAACCCCTTCTTTTTAACTTCTCCTTTCCTCCTCCTTTCAGATATATTTTTTTTCCTTTAAAAAATATAGTTGCTAACACAGCACACAACCATTTTTTTGACGTCCCACCTTCTAAAAATAATCACCCTGGGTTTTATCGGGCTTAGCAGCCCTTGAACATGAGCTCATGAGGCCCCTTGTCCCCGGTGACATTAATCCCATAGTGGTTGTTAGTAGTAGTCTGAGTGGCATGTGGAAGCCATTACTCTCGTTTTAGAGGAGGACAGGAGCTCCAGCAGTAGTTCTTGGCCTAGATGACAGGCCGTTCTCCTCTATGTGTGCATGAGAGAGAAAGGGAGCGCGTATCATGTACATGCATATGCCTACCTGACCCTGTCTACCTTTTGTAATGCTGTACATGCACATTCAGGGTCTCCTGTCCCTTATTCCTTTGTCCCTGTGGTCTATCACTGATGAAAACACACACTATACCAGTCCACTGTTTCTTTCATGCAGCAGGGTTTGCCAGCCACTGGTCGTCTGGGAGGTGGGATTCCCTGGCGGGACGGCACAGGTTGCTGTCATGTCACTGGAGCGTAGCGCCAGTCGCACCATATGTCCAGGCTTCTGCCCATACTTTATTTATGTTATGGTGCACCTTGTAAACACCACACTCCCAGCAACCCACTTATTAATTACCACGTGTTGACACTCATTTAATCTTTTTCTCTAAAAAGTGTTTATTACTTGCGCTGGTGTGGCTTCTTGCCACCTGAGCTGGAGAGAAAACCTGGCTCGGGCAGCAGATAGCTGCAGACCGGCTGCCACAGATTAAGTGATCCTTATTCAGCCTTAAAACCAAAAACAAATAAATTATGATTTTGAATGCAGTTGAGTGGTGCCGTCCAGGGTCACATGGACATTGATTTTATTTGGTGAGCTTGCACTCCACGCATACATGTAAGGGATTCAGTGAGATGCTCACAAGCTGCGCATCTGGTTAACACTCACACTGAATAACAAATGTCCTTATTTGGCTGTCAGACATACATATCATTTTGGTAAAGTTCTGTTTATTCAGTGGCAGAGAGACAATAAACAACATCACATTGTTTTGGGTTTTGGACTATTTTCATTGTTCACCACCATGTTTTTCCCAGTAGGCCTCTCGCTTTTTACTGTCTCTTTCTGGGTTTCATTCATTTATATTGCTGGAAATATGTTTTAGGGCTGCAACCACTTACTTTTATTGTAGATGAGTTTGATTATTTTTATATATTTACAAATTGTTTCTCAGAACCCAAATTTGCAACTTCATATTTCCTTTTTAAAGAGTCTAAAAGATAATCCAAGATATTTAATATACAATGATATAAAATAGAAAAAAGCAACAAATATAGAACTATATTTAACATTTATGTTTGATAACCTAACTTAAATGACTAATTGATTATGAAAATTGTTGATTGACTTTTAAATCTACTGATTTTTTAACACAACACAAGTTTTTCTTTGCTTCAAAAATGCATGCGCCTAATCAGGCCGTTTAGACAATGAGACACTTGTCCAATAAAACAATGCATTTGACCCTCCACCGCCAAGTCTAGGTGGCCCTGTCTTTTCCTCATCTTTCTGCCCCTTCTCACCAGAGAAGTGTAATATTGTGCCATGCTTTTAATTGCAGAAATACATCCTTCCCCTCATTATGGGCAGCCGAGAGGACAAGAAGCATCTGCAGAGGATGGAGAGCAACATTGCGGCAATGAGTGGCACGCTGACACAGACAGGTGAAGATTAATATCTTCATCACTTTCTCCCTCCTTAACATTTTCCCTCATTTATCTGTCGCCAAAATCGGGGGGCCCCGCACGTTTTTAACAAATGACGCTGCTGTCATTTCGCTTTAATTTGAAATTGCTTGTTTACTGTCAGGCTCGGGCTCAATTAATTACGTTTCGCTGAAAAGCTCTTAACCTCGGAATATTAATGAGGAGTTGGGAAATGACAACTTTTCTCCCCCACCCCCCGCCCATCCTCTCTCACTCCCCCCTTCCATCCATCTCCCCCTGCACCAACCTCACCCCCATCCAAACCTCCACCGCCATCATCATCATCCACCCTCCTCCCCGTAGGTGGCAAGAAAGTTCATTTTAATTTTCTGTGCATGTATGTGTATTTGCGCGTGAGTGTGCAGGATGTGCGTGCGGCATGGCACTGTGTGGCGTCTGGGCTCAGCACTGGCCCTAGTGTGATTAAGTGCACGGTGACAGGTGCGGCTCCCATGTTGGACAGGTGAGGAATCTCAACCTGGCTGTCAGGCATGGAGAGAGAGAAGCAGGGAGAGAGATGCTTTCCTAGCTCTTTGTCAGTATAATTAAAAATCCAGGGAGGCGTAAATGAGAGAGGCACTCTGAGAAAGTTTGGTCTCGTTAGCAGTAGCGTTGAACTGGAGTATGTTTTCACCTGAAAGGTACCAATCCCTATTAGAGAGAGATGGCCCAACAGAAATAAAGGAAATGACAGTTAAAAAAAAACAGAGCTTCAGTAGCATATTTCATAATTTAGGTCCTTGTTTAACTCTTTTGTTTGAATTATGAGTTGTTAATTCAAAATGTGTATTTTAATCAAATGAATTTGTATGAGTATTTGCCCCTGTCTGCAGGAGATATCAAAAAAGGTCAAAACTTTATGCCATAAACTTTACGATTATTGTGTTACTTAAGCAAACTGTGTGAGCTACCATCATGCCTGTGGTTATTGGGGTTGATATTTAAAGAGACAAAGAGGAGCCAAAACAAATGTTTTCTTCACAGGCTGCACTCTTAAGTTGAGTCATGAATACAACCGTTTCAGTTTAAATACAAGCATCCTTTGTTTGATTGTCCTTTCGTCTCCAAATTAAAACAAATGAAGTGTTTGAGTTTACAGCACCTGTCACGGACCCACATAGTGTAGATGAAAATATGGCTGTTATCATTTTATCCAGTCACACCCATGCTATTGTTTTCTGGCTGGCTAAGGTAGGTGGAGGACAGCAACTGTGTGAGATCGCGTGTGAGGCCTGCCACCCGGAATCTGAATAACAAATATATGCTCTTTTATGGTCATTTTCTCCCAACTATGCAAACACATTTCCTCTGGCTATTTCACTGCCCATTCTTGCTCTACTTATCACTTTTTGGAGATTTGCCAGCTTACAAACCCTGTTTTGTTTGTCGGTGGAGACAGGATTTTACAGTAAAAGTCCTCCTGTGTTATGCAGCGAGTAGGTGAGACTCCAGTGGGGGG